AATTTCGAGCTTAGTGGTCCCAACAACTACCGGCATAGGTATGACATTATACAGGATCTTTGTTTTGTCAATGTTCATCTTAAGACCTATCCGTTGGGAGGACTATTGAGGTAATTGAGTATAGTACTTAGGTTCTCCAGCGATTCTGCCATAAGGACTCTATCGTCGGCAAATTTAAGGTGTAGAAGGTATCCTTTGCAGTCCAGAAGCTTGAAAACGTCTTCCGTCAGCGGAACCCTGTCTGACACCTCTCTGCAGTTGGATAGGTTTCGTATGCTGGTTCTGTATTCGGATAGCCATCGTAGCCCTACTGTACAAACACGTCAGCACTTCGATATACCGACAGTCATTTTGGCACCGCTGAAGGGACTGCAGCACCGTCCAAATTTCGACGGAATCAAGGGCTTTCTCATAGTCCACATACGCTAGACAAATTGTACTCCTCGGACTTCTGTGTGATCTATGGTGCTAATGACTTTTCGCAAACCGGCTTGTTCTAGAAGTCGTCGAGTCAGTGTGCAAGACGATTCGTAATTACTCTCGGAAACAGCACTTAGACGCGGCTCAGATCGGAAATCGGTCTGTAGTTATTTAAGGGAGTTGTCGCCTTTCTTGAAGAACAAGACCACCGAACTTCTGCTCCACGCCTCGGTTGTAGTGCCACCACGGAGGGCGGAATGAAAGAGCTTCTGAAGGACTTCAAGTACCGGTTTTCCACCTGCTTTCAGATGCTCTGTTGTAATTCCATCCTCGCTTGGGGCCTTGCTGTTTTTAAGGTGCTGGAGATCTATTCTAATCTCACTCAGACTGGCGTCCGGAGTATCATCGGAATAGTGTCGGATAACAATTGCTCTTGGATCGTTCCTCACATTTGCGTGTGACTCCAACGATGATGTGTACAGCTGCCCATAGATCCTCTCAATCTCACTCAAAATCTCAGGTGTCCCGGAAACGAAGTTGCCACATTCGGTCTTCAGCTACAATAGTTGGGTCTTTCTGACAAACAGATTTCTAGCAAAAACTTTGGAGCCCTGGATCCGCTCGATTGCTTCTTCAATACGAGCAGTATTAAAATTGCGTAAGTCCCGCCGCATGCATTTGGAGATCTCTCTGTGCAGTTGCCTGTATGCTGTCAAATCTAGTGAAGACTGCAGTTTCATATCCCGTCTAACAGCCATGAGAATAAGAGTGTGATTGGACAGTTTTTATGTTCTTCTGCAGCGGGTCTTGCAGAACATAGCTCCGACCGCATGGACAGTTTCCACGAGCTTGTCATTCATATCTTCCACTGCATTGCAATCTTCTAAGCACTGAAAACGGTTTTGTAGCGCGAGTTGAAAGATTTTGAGACTGGATTAGAGCACGAGGGCGACAGGGCTTTGACTTCATTAGACATGACTTCTCCAACTTAACAACTTAACCTTCAGTGTGCCTGTCATAATTCGGTGATCGCTGCCGGCTTTCACGCTCGCGATCACTAAGACATCACTGAACAGTTGTCGTCTGGTCGTCATAATGAAGTCAATCTCATTTTTTGTCGAACCGTCGGGGCTCGATCATCACAAAGAGTCCCCCTTTCTCCATGAAATCGGACCGATGCTGGCCCCTTGCTTGTCCTATTCCAAATTTTCCTATCTTCAGCTCACCGTTCTCTCTTATACCTAGTTTTGCGTTGAAATCTCACATTACTACCGTATAGTGGGTTTTGGAGGAATGCATGGTTCTAGATACATTTACTTCACCTCCTCATTGGGATGTGCCGAGGTTGGTGCGGAAACCTGTATGACCTTCAGCGAATACCGTTTGGTGATTCTGAGTATAGAATACGCAACCCTCGTCGACACACTCTCAATCTTTACAACGCTGTTAAAGAAAGACTTGTGGACGATAAATCCGACACATCCTTGAGACAGATGTTCACCCTCCCGGTGATAGAACAAGTTGCCGGATTTGACCATGTCCTTCCCCTCTCTTCGAACCTCAGATAATCATATAATATTACAGCGCAATTTGTTAATATCTACTTCCAGCTCCAGGATTTTCTCGTCAGTCTTCAGGGTGCGTGCGTTATATGTTGCTAGGTTGAGTATTCTTAAGTGGCAACCGAACCTCCACCGGAGATTCTTAGCACCCCCTGCCCCAACGTTACCATGGTCGTCACCGTAGCCAGGAATAGCAGAGCCCCCGAGGACTGGGGGCTGTTTCTTCGTAACTTTAATCATGGAGGGTATTGGCTTGGCGAGCGGGTTGGCAACAAAGCAGTTTCTTATTGTAGTTTTGCTGCCTATCTTCTGCCTCAGTTTCCCTCTGTCGCCTTTTACCATACCCACGGGAAGATATGGGTTAGTGGGTAATCTTAACCGCCACTACACAGGGGATTAGCTATTAGCAGCAGTTAAATATGTGAGTTATCCGACTATTATGGGCATAGTGAGTAATTGCACTTGAATCTTTGTTAAAATCGTTGGTCTTATTCGATTGTGAGAACTATGACGTTCTAAAAAGAACAAATATCCATTAACGATCGTTAACTTAAGATTATTATTTCCCAATTATACCCAGGTCCATGCTTTCGGGATTAAGAAACGTGTTAATCAAAAATTTTGTTGAACTTTTTTAGTTAATCTTTGAAACATAATATTAATTTGTATTAATTTTAAATACTATGAAAGTAACTTGGTAAATAACCATTTGACAATTTAATTAAACTTTTCTTATATTATAGGTCGGCATATTTTATGAGCAAACGATTGTGGGATGTGAGCAGTGTGTATTTATGTTACCCGATATCTTCGCCGAATATGAACCTATTTTAATTATCCTTTTTAGTAAATAGACTAATACCTCGAGGGTAGTATCATTTAAACTTAAATAAAAAAAACCACTCCAAAGGGTAGGAAACTAGATTAGATTTCATATTGCTGTTTAAGTAGTTTTTAATTATTTAAATAGCTCTTTTTAAACTTAAAAGTTTAAATTCTTACAATATTATATTTTAATTTATTTTAACGATTATATTATAATGATTAGTGTAATGTTTTATTAGACGCAAATAGACTAATCATACGAATAAGTGTCAGTACAGATATTATTTCTTTCAAATCTTAACTTATTTATTTTTTAACTTTAAAATATATCGGACGAATAAAAATAAATCAATTATATGATAATGGTATAAATAAAAAAAAATAATCGTTCGATTATCGCATGAATAGACACAACCATCTTTTTATTACTCTGCTGATAAGTAACGGGCTTTATCCATAAAGCCCGATCAATTTAATTATTTCAATAGTTTTTCTCACATTGCATACTCATTGGGCATTATTCATATTGCCCGGGCATTATAAATAATGCCCTAATCAATTACTTTTTTTTTATAGGAGAGGGGGCAAACGAGCATGCGGCTCACCTGATGGTAAGTGACTACCGCCGCCCATGAACAACCGCAACACCAGGGGAATTGCAGATGCGGAACTTACTTGGTCCATAACATAATATATTATAATGTTATTTTAAACTTAATATATCGAGAAGTAGACGCATAGAATCTCTCTTTATATAGGCAATTCATAATGTTTATTTAGTTACCCGTTATTGAATTCCAGGAATGTAATGATCGTTTCACGGCACACGTACCTGTGGGCGTCGAATGTTACGTTTTACTTCGCAAATGTTGTTTTACTAAAGTTTGTTTTGCATTCATTATAATTGTGTTTATATTGTTGATAAACTTTTTTAACGAATGTAAATATTTTACAAAAAAAAAAATCACAGGCAGCTGAACTGTAAGTGGCGCAAATATATTTAATATTTGTGCCATTAGCTGTAGTGACTATCGGTCCGTGGGGTCCACGTGCGGTGAAGTTCCTAAAGGAACTCCATCCGCTGCTGATCGTTGCTGCTGGTGATAAGAGGGCTGGTTCTTTTCTCGCTCAAAGGCTTATAGCCATTCAGCGGGGAAACGCAGCCAGTGTTCTTAGCACGATACCGCAGCGAGTAGGACAGTATGATAATTAAGTTACTAGTTTTAGTTTTTTTTTTATTATAGTTTTTAATAAATACCATGTTTAAAATTTACTACAAGTTGCTCTTATGATCTGATATTTGAACACTTCGCTGAATCGAGAGGAGGCCTATTCCCAAAAGTGCGAATATATATATATATATATATATATATATATATATATATATATAATATATATAATATATGTAATTTTTATAATATCCTAGCGATCCAGGGAGTACCTCACCCAGGGAGGGACTAATAAACACACAAAAAATTGCATCAAAATCGTTCCAGCCATTCGATTTTTGGATCATCGAGTTTTTGCGAGACTTAGGGACAGCAGTTGATCTTTATATATAGAGATTGTTGCAGACAATAATATAAGTAAATCTTATATTAAATAAAATCATATTATTATTATATCGATCTATACTGTAAAAGGGATGGCTGTTATGGAAATATTTTTATGGCACTATTTGATACTATTTCATATTTTTACTTAGTATAAAACATATAAATTATTTAACGACGTAGAGCCACGCTGCAGCTATATTATGGTTGTAGAACGAATCGGTTGGCTCGACTGGGGTAGGACTACGTTCTCACAGATTACCAGCGTAAAGTTGAAGCTTAATGCTGCTGCTTCTTATGGTGAGTATAGACCTACATTTTAATTCTTAATCGAGGATAGATGTAGGTATCTATGGGCCACAGCATCCGCTTACAATCAGGTGGACTGATTACCCATTCGTCAAAAAATACTATTACGTTAATAAAACAGGAATGTTTTTATACGAAATATTTTTACAAAAGTACGTTTTTCTAGATTTAGTTGCTACCACTGAAAATTAAATTAAAAAATAAAGAAATATGAAACATTTTATGGCTCTAACTACTTATCGACTCTACATAACGACACGAAAATAACATCATGAACATCCAAACAAATTCTTTAAATAATATTTTTTAAACAATTATTAATTAGACTTACCGGCAAAAAAAGGGCGCCACTAATATCGCATGTTATAATCACTGCTAGTATGTAGAGAAATGCTCTCATTATGGACGAGTTAAATAAGTTTCGTATCACTTCACTATTCTTAAAAACTTTCGTAAACCGCTAGGACACACAAGCTGGGCCTGTGACGTCGGGGTTGGATAAGTTGTGAATGGGGGCGAGCTTGTCCTGCTCCCTTTATAGGGCTAGAAAGTGTTACTGCGCACTCAGTGATGCGCTTTCTCGTTTCCTTCTCAGCAATAAAATCACTTCCGCCTATGTGTGCGGTGAAATAATCATAGAACTAGATGTTAATTTCTTCTAACGCAACAAACTGTGTTACTATTTAGTTTAGTGAGTTATTTTTGTAACATGAATTTGTTTTTCACGTATAATACAACCATTACATTACAATTTTAAGAGAAATATGTTAGTTATCTTATGATAGTAGTACGAACGAATTTTTATCATTATCTATTATTTATTCAGCAAATATTATGACTGAGAAATAGGCAAGACGTTATAACACGGTGTAACTTGAAGTATAGTATATATAGTTTAAGATAAAATAATAATCATTATAGTAATATGTAATATGTTTGTTTGTTAATTTTCTGTTTCCTTTCGTTATCATCATCATCGTTACCCCTGTTGAACATAGGCCTAACCTAAGGAATCCCACATGTTGCGGCCCTGAGCCATATGATCCATCGACTTTCTGCATCTCTTACCAGGACGTCCGTCTATCTAATTAGAGGCCGCCACTTCACTATCAGTTATTCAAGCTATATGGCCGACTCATTTCCGCTTTAGCCTACCAGAGTAACCGACATAGCCCGGTCCGTTGGGCTTAAAATTATCTCCTTTATAATTCAGGCGCTTATCGCTAGTTTTCACTACTTTATCATAAGTAACAGCTGCGGCCCTAAGCAATGCACTTAGATGCTTGGAATGTAAATTATTGTTGTCTTGAGACATATTATATTTTAACTTCATTGCAATGAATAACTACTGGCTTAAAGTTAATACAAATTATTATTAAATATTATTTCGTTTCGAAATTATAATATTATTTTTGTTTTCAAACCGAAGAATTAATGTTTTATTTTTGTGTCTGTGTAGACAGTTATTTTAATCAACTGAAAATTTAAAAATGCGGTTGCCAATCCGAGTCCTTAGCGTCGCAACTATGGCAAATATCCCCGATTTAGATCCCCGCTGGCAACTTAGAAATTATTAATTGCAATTGTAAGTTCGGATTTACTTGTGCTCAGCGGTGGACATCGTGAAGAAAACTGCAGCTCTAAGAAATAAAAAATAACCGGCATATGCGAGTCGGACTCGCGCATTAAAGGTTCCGTATCATCGCAATACACGTTTCTAGTAGGATAGGTTGTAAATTAAAAGAAACTCCCTTTTAATTTTTAACTTATTTTTACTTTTTATTATTTGTTGTTATAGCGGCAACAGAAATAGACATTCTGCGAAAATTTCAACTGTCTACCTATTACGGATCATAAGATGCAGCCCACTGACAGACAGACTGACGGACGGACGGACGGACGGATGGACAGCGGAGGCTTAGTAATAGGGTCGCATTGGTTACCCTTTGGGTACGGAACCCTAAAAATATTTCATAGACATATGACTTCCGCCAATTGGGGTAGCGCAGCGGACATTTCCTTGTCCTAAAACTTTCTCAGAAATTATATTAGGTCTGTGCCAAGGAGTGGGACGTACGAGTATAGCAGTGACTTTGGTTTTAAATTTATGTAAATTATTTAAAACTGACATTTGGAACCATCTTAAAACAAATATAAAACCGGACTTATACGAGTAAGCCTCGCGCCTTAAGGTTACTCTAAACTTTATAATGAACTAACAACCCGCCCCGGCATCGCATGAGTAGGGTTTATTAATAGTAATATAATGTCGCGTTATTTAGATATAATATGATAGTTAAAGAACAGTATTTTATCAATTTTTTGTTTTGTTCAAAAAATGTCAAATTTTTAGGATAAAATATAGCTCACTCACACACTCGTGGCATTGCTGCCTATCTGATTACACAGACAAACAGAGATTTTTTTAAATTGTTTATTCATTTCTTGCAATGTTCTGCAAGTAACCCTCTCAGACCTATAACAGGCAGTTATTTTGATATTTCAGACAGACACATACATTTTATTTTACTTTACCTGCGCAACGGGGCCCACCAAGTCTGACAAGTGGAGGCCATGGGGTTCGGAAAAACGAGCACTTGGAGGCACCAACCTTCCTGACCTCAGCGGTGGATCAGGTTCTATAGCTCCGCAGCCAATCATATTTCGGCCGCGGTAGGTAGGGAAAGCGGCACCTTACAACACTGATACTCCTCTTCCACCGCGGCCTCATCACCACTATATCAGCGATGAGAACCCGCCAGAGTCGAAGAAGATACGGCGAGTGCCGCATCGCCATACTAACACTACTAATACATCCGAACTGAACTCGCCAAGCCCACTCGGAGTGGCCACCTCGGGTCGGCTCTTCCACCATGTAGGTTCCTCTTAGTTCTCCATGGGCGAGTAAGCCACGGCAACCTACAAAGGCTACAGGTGCGTTCTGATCCTCTAGGATTTAGATGGAGTGTTCCACTTGCTATAATTATATTCTGTCTCCTACAAATCAATGATACACAGCACTGCTGTTTAGTGAAATAGTAATAAAACTGTTCTGTTGCCTTTTAAATCGGATTTAGCGCCAGCAACAATAAGATGTTGGTTGGAAGCTATCCAGACGGACTCCTAGGTAGAAAAGGAAACCTTTAAATGTTTATATTTATATAATTAAATAAATAATTAACTTATGTAATTGATGAAGCATTTCTTTTGTATCTATACAAATAAATAAAATTAAAGTGTCTGTTTGTAATGTCAAAATACCAGCTTTTTACTAAATGTATATGAAAGTATATACGGTACTTATAACAAAAACACAATTTTTAAAATTTTTGTCTGTCTGTCTGTCTGTTTGTTCTGGCTAATCTCCGAAACGGCTGGACCGATTTCGACGGGACTTTCACTGGCAGATAGCTGATGTTATAAGGAGTAACTTAGGCTACTTATATTTTAGAAAAATAATTAGGGTTCCGCGCAACATAATTAAAACCCTAAATTACACGCGCGCGAAGTCGCGGGGAACAGCTAGTTATTAAATAAAAAGTAGAAATAGATTGAAAAAGTACAATAACAGATATTACTAGATAAGGATCAATTTTAAGGATGATGTCGCACTTATTTTAAGTTTTTTTTTTAAATGCCGCAATTTCTGGCAAGTCACGGGGAGGAGAGTATTTTAGGGTCTGCAGTTGCCTGTGGTGGTATGTCCTGTGGCATTCTAATAAATATTTATATATATATATATATTTGTTATTGCTGCAACTGAAATGGGTCTGCTCAACTGGTAAACGATAACGCTCTCACAGAATACTAGCGTAAAATAGCTGTATGATACTGGTGCTTCATAGTTTTATATAGTAACGAGTCATTCAATTAGGTCATATATAAGATAAGAACGCATTTGTATTACGATACTTAATGAAGTTGATATCTACGAGCCATCGGAGGAACTGTTCAGTTGTCCACTTTGTTTGTATAAAAATAAACTTTAACACCTAATAGTGCATATGGACAAACCTTCATTATTTTGTGCATGTGTGCAAATCCATAATGAATGTTTTGTTTTTCTAATGGTGCGGTGCAGAGGCAAGCGAAAATTTTTTTTTTATAGAATAGGGTGACAAACGAGCACATAGTCCTTCTGATGATAAGTGGATGCTGTGGTACATAGACGTCTATATCTATCCTCTACTAAGATATCGCAGACAATCGCAGATACGTTGCCGCGCTGCTATTTTACGGTGGTATTATGTAAGAGCGTGGTCCTTTTTAGCGAGGACCGAAATTAAAAATGAATTGTCCTGAGAATATCTGTTGTTAACACTCTCTTAAGTTTAAATCAAGCTCATATTTATTACAAATATTCTCTCTCTACTATCGACAAGTTGTTATTGAAGCCTGTTATAGAATATTTTATAAAAAGGTGTAAAGGTGTAAAAAGTCTAAATGGAGAAACATGTACGCTATAGGTAAATAAAACGTAAGAAATAAAGTAAATAGTTTTCAAAATAGACGAAGTCCATTTTGTTAGGCATACAAATGGTATAAATTTGCTCTGAGAGAGTATTGGAATCACCATAATGTTGTTTTTATATTATTCAATTTCCTTTGAGGTTGAAGCCTACGTTGTACTAACAGTATAAATTCCTGAACTAACATATTATATTAAGGTGAATTGAGAGATAATTGATTTAATTAGCTTCGCAGTTAGGAAGCTGTCCAAAAAACATGCCTGTGATATGTGTATGCTTGTAACTTTGTTACTTTTTCGTTGTTTCTTTTTTTATAGAATATGGGTGATTTATGTGACAAACGAGCACACAGTTCACGTGATGGTAAGTGGATGCTATGGCCCATAGAAATTTATCCTCAATTAAGAATCAAAATGCAGATGCAAATGTCACCTCTGAGGACTGAGATGGAGTGCCTTGTTTCCAGTAAAAACGTTTCGTATTTTTCAAAAATAAATAATAGTTGTAGTTAATTCAAATTCATTATTACAAATACCTAATAAGGTTAGTTCCGCCTTTTTAAACAAAAAAATTGACTAAATTCATCGTTTATTTTTATTTAAAACTTCAATTTTTTTTATATTAGTTACTAATTGCGCCGAGCAAATCGCACCTATATCCTTTTTTGTAATTTATTTCGTAACACGGATTATCATGTTTACCTTTAATTAATTAAAAGACAAAACTACATTTCAATTAACAAATTTAAATCTTCGTTTTAATCTCTGTAAGGTAACGACAGCTAACTTCCTCATTTTAATATCAAAAGACTCCTTTAAAATTTGTGCGCTGACGAAAATCAACAAACCACAGCCTTTAAACCCTCTAATACCGTAATCCACGGTTCCTACAACGGAACTGAAGTTTTCCGTAATTAGCGCGTCTAGTACGT